CCCAATCTGTGCATTTCTAGATTTACTGATTTCACTGGATAAGGGAGAGATAAAAATGAACATATATTTGAAACCTGGTTACTGCTGGTTTTTATATACCTCAACATCATGTGACCTGTTTTTATATAAGTTCACTGTATTCAAAACATTAATAAGACATGCCTACACACATTTCTCAAACTATATTAACACAGTTAACATATATTAAGGTGTCAATGCCACCATGAATATCGAAAAAAGGTGATGGCGGATCTGATGGAGGCTTATGAGGTTGATTCACAATGGAGAAAGAGTAGAGAGATAAGAAGGAACCATTGAAAGTGGCCAGATATAATGCAAGATTGAAGGCTATACATAATAAAGTAGTGGCATGGACTGGGGACAGAATTTGTTATAACAGAACTTTCATGGTGTTCTAGATGTTCCAGAGTGATAAGGATCCAATGAGCTCTGAATGGAGACCTGGTGTATATAAGGTACCCATGGACAACAGGAGATTTGATATTGAAAGAATATGTGTTAGGGTTAACATCCAGAAATTTGGGTGTCAGAATCAAAGAACTTAGATACATGGTTGAAAGATATCTAAAATCTACAGTGTTTGGTGAGGTTTGTATTGAAACCTGAGGAGATAAATATTTAAGTGGGAGAGAACTAGAATTATTTGCCCCATTTGTAACATTGAGAACCTAATGAATATTAGAAAAAATGGAAATCTATAAGTCACCTAAACTGGGAAGATGCATCAATTTCAGAGATGATGAGGACCTATGCAATGCATGGATGTTGTATTATGAGGTGGTTATAAAGAAACTAAAAGGGTCCTGATGATATGTATGCTCTTTTTGTGCTTTATAAATTGTAGAGCTTTGTTGTTCATTATTTTTAGTATATATGATATCACTGTATACTTGCAAGGTTTTAATTCTTTGTAATTATAAACATTTTAAAATTATACATTTTCTTATCAAGAAATAGAACATTTAGATGTGTTTTTAAACTGATAAGTGACTGTGATGCAGCATGTATTTCAAATTGTTCCAATTTTATTTTGTCAGTAGCATATTATTTTTAAATTTTTGAATGTGTTCCTTTTTATAATTTTTGTTTGTCAATTTAGACATTACATATAAAAATTTTTGGAATTTAACTTGAGTTTCCATGTAAAAGTTGCCTGATAATAGGCATTAAAGATGTCCAAAAATGTTGGTGAGAAAAACTAATAAATTGCTGGTGTGAAAAAGGTTGAAAGTGATTTTTTTTATTATTATTAATTTTTAGGCGTTCATCATGTATCTATGTTTGCATTCATCATGTATGTTGATATATGTTTGTCCAAGTTATATCTTTAGAGGTGGCCATCACACCTAACAAGCATGCATGTTTACTAATAAATTATAGTATTGCTAATCCATATTCTATTTAATTTTGAGAATTGTGCTTTACTTTTTATAAAACCTGTCTGGCAACCTGTAAGGTTCTAACTAGATGTGTGCTGTTTACCTGCAGTTTATTTATATTATTAATAAATATTAATTAATGAAAGTAGCATTCTGTATACGTATCCTGTTTGCTTAATAAATTACGTCGGTTTACGGCATTTGACATATTGTATAGAAATATGTAAATTTTGGATAATTTGAAGTTGTGATTATTATATCCCTTAAATTTTGAACTAATGAGGATTTCCTGTATTAGGTCTCATTTCGAACAGTTAGCTACTATATTGTAAACCTGGCCAAATTCACAATGGAACTGAAAAAAAGTACTTAGGATGGAATGAATAAAAAATTATGTATATGTATATATATATATATATATATTTGGGTTGTTTGGAAAGTAATTTCATTTTTTTTACCACTAGATGGATTAGTTGTATTTTCCCTGCCATTTTCATTCTAAACCATATTATCATTATATATTTTGACAGCTAGCATTTTAAGGCTTATTTTGTAAAAAATTTTGTTTGATTTTGTGTAATTGTTTATTTTTTGTGTCCTGTCAAATATGGAAGATCGAAAGTAACATTTTCGGCATATTTTGCTCTTTTATTACCAAAAACGTAAGAATGCTGTTCAAGCAAGAAAAAAATTGTGTGACATGTATGGAGAAGATGTATTGACAGAATGACAGTGCCAAAACTGGTTTACAAAATTTCGTTCTGGCAATTTCAATATTGAAGATGCACCATGTTCTGGATGGCCAGTTGAAGCCAATGAAAACAAAATAAACGTACTGATTGCAAAATAAACTGCCGAATAATATGTGAAATCACTAAGTGATTAAATTTGTCAAATTGAACTGTTTATGATTACTTGAAACAAATTGTTTTCATTTCAAAGCTTGATATATGGGTTCCACATGTTCTTAAAGAGAGATGCTCTCTTTGGTGGGATTTTAAGGAATTATTATTATTTTTTTTTTTTGAGCTTTTACCATACAATTTAACAATTGATTTGAAAGTGTACTGATTTGAAATTGATGATCTAAGTTCATTTTTTTTAAGCATTTTCCAACAAATTTTAGTAATTTTTTTTCTATTTGTGAAAATTTCTACATAATTCAAAGGTAATTTTTAATACATATTTTACACAGCATTATGAATATTATTATTTTGGAGGTTGCAGGATGTATTAAATTATTTAAAAAATGAAAAATAATTATATCATTCAATTTCAAGATTTATTTTATANGAGGTGTTACTACACACGTCTGGAGAGGTCCAAAAAACGTCACTTTTTTTCTCAATCCTGGGACAAGCAAACGAAAAATTGATTTACAAAAAATTCAGAGGGTCAAATTTGACACAATTTAGTGTCAAATTTGTTATGTTATACATAACAGCCAAAAAAGTAAAACTAAGTTAAACTGTTAAACTAATTAACAACACTGCTAACCAAGTTATCTGTATATTGTACCTATCAAACATCATTTAAGATGGAATTCAGAAATATTATTCAAGTCACGTCTCCTTTCTTTTCTCACACAAGGATTGTCAGTTGAGGATGAGTACAACTCATTCTCACATTTGATATTCAAAGTGAGATTGGAATGGATGACTACATGATTGTAATTTCAAGGAATATATCATAATTTTATTATTAAATTGTGACATAAGTCGTCATTATCATGTAGTTATTTGATATTGCATCTGAACATGCATATTTTAATATTTTTGTGAGGATGATTATAATTCACTTAACTCCTGAAATCTAAGCAGAGAAAATTGTTTGTGACAGATAATGAAAAACATTATTTAACAGTGGATGGCTGAAAACAAATATCAAATGGAAGAAAACTGACAGTTGGTTTTCTGAGAGGAAAAACTCAATCACCCAATTTTTTTTTTTTTTTTTTTTTTTTAATGATTAATCTAAATTTTTTTATTTCAAAGTGAATAGGCATAAGTGAGGGGGAAATGGTGCATGGTACTGAAAAATATGATGTTTAAGTGTAAAATCATGTAAATGAAATAAACATATAACTGAAATGTTTTGTAATGGAGAAAATATCATGCAGAAAATATTTAATACATCATTGCAAAACACATACAACTGAGAAACACATAAACAGGGTTTGACTTTATTTAGCTGGAATTGCCAATCTATTTTTTTATTTCAAAGAACATTTTTGATTAGTTTTGCTTATTTAGAGACATAAACCTAATGTTATATTATTAGCTAATTGAGAATACTACAGTCGACCCCCCTATAAGATAGAGATACGTTCCATTCTCTAGGAATCCGCTTTCTTACGAATCCTTCCAATCACAACCCGACACGTGTCAAGTTTACGGACTACGGCTGTTTGAAAGATTTTCTTCCATAAAATTAATCGATTCTAGACTAATCCGACTCAACATTTCCAAAATACGTATATATTTTTTGGGAATAATCCGTATAAACTACGCTATAAACAAAAAATTGTAGGATTACTTACCGAGTGTCACCATTCGACATTGCCATTGCTCAACATTGTTTTCGTCGCGGAACAGCTCAGCAAAGAGCGGCCGATTTCTAACAACTTATTTTTCTGTGAAAACTTCGTAGAACTTCGGAGACATCATTAATATAAATAATTTTAATCGCCGTTGAATAAGAAATGTTTCTTTCACAAGAAATGTATAAAATTACAGTACTGTATTAGACTTACGGTACCTAATTTACATACTGACAGACGATAGTTAGCGTAAAAATCTCCGTAGCGTGGCGCCACGCTAGACGGCGGAAATTATATATTTAATTATAACAAAGTTACAATAAGTTAATATATAATTATATATACAGTACCTAATTTATATATAATTAATATATAATTATATGTACAGTACCTAATTTATATATAATTTATATAATACTGTCCAGACGATAGAAATCTCTCCGTAGCGTGGCGCTACGGACGGCGGGAAAGTAGTTCGGCTTCCCGATGACGTTTGAGGTGTTTATAGGGAACTTTTACTATTTTTTACGGATACCGGTAGCAATTTTTTCGTAGTTTTATAGGAATCGTAACTATAGGGACCGTAATTATAGGGGGGTCGACTGTATTTAAAATCTTTAATTTAAAGTAAAATGTTTGCTTTTCACAAAAAGAGGAAAACAAATTTACAAAGACATTAGAAAAATGCTAGTTTTAATGTTGATTTCTCAAGAAAATGACTCCTTATCGGTTGGAATTCATTTTAATTTGCAGTCTTTTTCAGTCTTTGAAATATAGTGAAAAATTTAATTGTTGCAATGGAATGCTCCACTGCAACTTGTTAAGGGCTAAATCTTGATATGTATAATTGTGAATGTTTAAAAATTGGATTTCAAATCTTTATCTGAATTATTAATAATTTTATATATTCTGGCACTTAATTTTTTACAGACTTTTTAAAAAATTTTTAAAAGAGATTTTAAAGCACTTTTACTATTTTGTTTGTGAGAGATTTAAGCTAATTTTTATGTAATTAAAATTTATCATGAAGATTTATTAAAAATACTTTTATTTGAAAATAGGGTTATATCAAGCGCCAAGCATTGTATGCATGCCGAACTTGCTCTACTCCTGATACTGAACCAGCTGGAATTTGTTTAGCTTGCAGTTATGCATGTCATGGAGAACATGAGTTATATGAACTCTATACTAAAAGGTATTTAATATTTATTGGTTTATTAAAATTTATTTCATAATTTTATTTTAGTAAGTGCTATAATTTCATGTGAATAACCTGGAATTTATCTGTGTTTAAAAATAATTATGAAAGCAGATGCAGATTACCTGTTAATTTTAACTTGCAATATTAACTCATCCAACAGCTTTTCATTTATCGAAACTTATTAATAGCATCTTTTAAAAAATGAGAAAATTCTTTACATGCTGCAGATCTATTTATCTGTCATTCAAAGTTTTTTTTATCAAATCACCAAAGGTGCACAAATGTATACCTATTCTCAAAATTACCAACGGCTGTATCATTATTGATACTGCAATAGGTTATGTCAAAAAGTGCAAGTTTCTAGGAGATCCAAAAAAAAGTTTTGATTTTATTTACATATGCCTTATTGTCAAGGAGAGAGTTTCTTCATTTCTATTGATTCCTTAGTATTTTACATGACATTAATTTAAAACTTGGTATTTTGATTACAACAATACAATAATATCAAAATCAAATTTTTTGACATGACCTTTTGAGTATCACCAAATCTGTAAACCCTAAATAATTTTATATATATTGTGGGCGCCAGTTCGTGTGAAATTACTCATTACAAACAGGGCCACATACAATAAAAGATTATCATTTATTCTATATATGAATTATGGCGCGACTGTACAGGTTAAAACACGAGGTGTTACTA